AGTTTGGAAGGGAGCCGCGGGTGGGGGGGCGGGCGCCGAGGCCTGCCTTGGCTGGGAGAATCGGGGCCCGAGAGCGGGCAGCGGGATCCAGGTCCACCCTCGGGCACCGAACGGGTTACCGGCGTGAGGTCGTGGAGCCTGGATTCCCGACGACAGGGACCTGGGGTGGGGACTCTCTGGAGCCTGCCCGCGGGGACTGGGAGTTGAATTGCGACACTCCAGGGATGGGGGAACCTGGATACCAGGATTCCTGTTAGTTGCCTGGACTTTGGATGCTGGGACCGCTCCCCACCGTGGGGACCGAGGACAGATTCCGTTTGAGCTGCGCGCGTTAGAGTCAGACGCTTACTGTGTGACCTTAGGAAAACTCCTTGACTTCCCTGAGCGTTCCTTGATCAATGTCCATTTTCTGAGCGCTTTACCTTGGGCTGGGCATATGGCCGCGACCACGGCAGCCTAGAGATCGCTGCTTTCCCGGAGCCTCTGGGCCAGCGGACCCCCCACTTGTTATAATGGACACTATTGCATCTTCGGATGTGTTCCGGGTTCTGCGAGGTGATCCTGGGAAAAAAAGATCTGCCCGGTTCCTAAACCCGTGGTTCGCAATTGGGGATGACTCCCACCCCCCCATCCCTGCATGTGGCAAAAAGTCTGGGGACATTTTTGGTTGTCACATTAGGGGTGGCGGTGCTAGTGCATCTAGGGGTGGAGACCAGGGATGCTTTTCCACATCTACAAGGCCTAGGGTGTCCTCCCCCAGGATCATACTCCCTAGAATGTCATGAGCACCAGGTTGAGAGACTCCGGGTTAAATAAATGGGACATGTATTTATATATATATATATATTTTTTTTTTTTGAGAGGTTTTTGCTATAGGGCATGTGCGCTCGCCAGACAGAGAGACAGAGACAGAAAGCAAGAAATCACCCCCCAGGGGGATGGCCACATCACAATCCCTTCTCCTCCAGTCTCCTCTTGGGATCTTGGGCATGCACGCACACGCGCCCAGCGTGAGTTTAAGCGACCGGGTCTGGGACGTGAACCGCAGTTGACTACATGGGAGTCCAGCGACATAGACATTTCGCCAACTGCTGGTCCCAGTGGGACGTATATTGAGTGTCAGCTCTGAGCTTGTTTCGTCTCTGGTGTTGAGATCGCATCTCTATAGGGAGCAAGGAAAAACATTGACTTGAGGACTTGAGACTCACAGTTAGAATGGGGGTGCCGAGAAGGGTCAAATCCGGATCGGCTGTGTGATTTCGGGCTTGTGCTTTAACCTCGCCAAGCCTCAGTTTCTTCTGTTAAAGGTGGGTGTGAGAGGGGCCCGCAGGTGGCGTGGTTAAGACACTCGACTCCCATGTGGTAGTTCAAGCTGTGGACCTGGTGGCCGGAAATGACACTGGACAAATGCGTGTGTGCCCAAGACCCAGAGAGGAGCATGGAGGAGAAGGGATGGCAGAGTGGCCAACCCCCCCCAGCCGGGTGCTTTATCTCGTTCCCTCTCTCTGTCTCCTGTCTCTCTCAGCTGACTGCATGCAAAAACAACAACAACAAAAAATGACAAAACAGAAACGAAAAAGATTTGAGAATAGTCCATCAGTACATGTCATTTCATACCTAGTTGAGGGGTGCAGATGGCGTGATGTCTGTGAAACCATTGTCCCCCCTGCCACACAGGAAGCCCTCAGTCCCCGGGAGAAGATGGGGTGGAAGGAAGCGTCAGGTCCTGGGTGGGTGTGACAACTGAGAGGACCTTCCTTGAACGGGAGTCACTGAGTGCATTCGCAGATAGAGCAGGCCAGGTTAGATACAGGGGAGACCGTGTTGCTTGCTGGTTAGCGATGCGCCCAGTGGCTCAGACCACCCGAGCCCGAATCCAGCTCCATCATTCCTTGCCAGCCTGACCTCCACTCTGCAGAAACGGGCGGTTCTGACCTCGGAGTCACTGAAAGGGAGAGAGGGTGATGTTAGTTCGTGCACAGCCCTAGGCACAGGGTTCCACAGACAGTAAACGCTCCCTAAAAAGCTGTCGCCTTCCTGCTGAAGGAGGGGGAGGCCCTGGCACACCCACATGGGTGCTCCTCTGCTCCCCGGGAGGGCAGCCTGGGCATGGCGGGCCCAGGGCAGGCGCTAAGAGTCGCATGTGCTCCTCTGATTGCTGCGCAGGTCGCCGGCTGTCGGAGCTGGCCGCGGCGTCGGGACGGGCCACCGGGCCGGGCTAGGAAGGTGTAGTGGGCCTCAGCGCCGCCCAGCGCGGGCCCGGCTCCTGTAACCGTTGCAGTCTTCTGTCCCTTCACCCAGGTGGGCAAACGCAGAGGCGGGAACAAACTAGCCCTCAAGACGGGGATAGTGGCCAAGAAGCAGAAGACGGAGGATGAGGTGAGCGGGCTGGGCGGGGGGCGGCCGGAGACCCTGTGCTTCTCCCTTCCAGCCTCGTGCCGGGGCCGCCAGCCCAGAGAACCGGTCCCTGCCTGTGTTCATCTGGAACCCTGGGCCTTTGGGGCAGCCCCGGGGATGAGGGATCGGCTGTCCAGGACAGTCCTGACCGCGCTTCTGGCCTCCCCTGCACCCGCTCTCCCAACCCCCACCCTCCTCCCTGCCCCGACAGGTATTAACAAGTAAAGGGGACGCGTGGGCCAAGTACATGGCGGAAGTGAAAAAGTACAAAGCCCACCAATGCGGCGACGACGATAAAACTCGGCCCCTGGTGAAATGACCCCTCCCCTGCCCGCCCACGGCCTGGGACTCTCTGCGATGTACATAACTATTTAATGTCGCGGCGGCGTGGCCTCCCCGAGGACTCCCCGCAGGACACCGAGACGCCCCCGCCGCCGGCCCTCCAGGACTCTTTTGTACCTTGAGCACTTGCTCCTGAGACTCATAGGACAGTGGCCCACTGTCCTCTCCCCGCCCGCCCCCTGGCGTTTTCTGTCTTCCTCCTCTCGCCCTCACCCCTGCCCCTCACCGTCACTTCTGGGAAGTAAAGAATTTGACTTAGTGCCGGACCTGTGTGCTTGCTTTGTTTTCTTTAGGCTCTTTTCTTTTTATTTTTTTAGAGATTTTTTTACCGTAGGGCACATATGCTCACCAGAGAAACAGAAAGCAAGAAATTACCCTCCAGCAGGGATGGCCACGCCGCAATCCCTTCTCCTCCGTTCTCCTCTCGGGATCTTGGGCACGCACGCACACGCGCCCGGCGTGAGTTTAAGCCACCGGGTCTGGGACTCGAACCGCGGTTGACTATGAGGGAGTCAAGTGACGTAACTATTACGCCAACTGCTGGCCCTGCTTTTAGGCTCTTGAAACTGAGCTTTCCCTAACGAAACCAGGACTGGCCCTGGATGGCAGGGCAGGGCAGGGAGGTGGAGGTAAGAAGGACATGGGCATCTCCTTACCCCTGAACGCACGCCACCATGGTGCCATAGGTTCCTTTCTGTCCACAGCCCCATCTAGGCCTGGCCTAAGCTTTTCTTCTTTTTATTTTTTAAAAATTTTTGCTACAGCACACATATGTTCACTAGAGACAGACAAAAAGAGAGAAAGTGAGAGAGAACCAGGGGGGTGGCCATGCCAAAATCCCTCCTCCATTATCCTCTCAGGATTTGGGGCACGCACGCACATGTGCCCAGCAAGGTCCTTATGCCACCGGGTGTGGGACTTGAACCACCAAGTTCATAGGGATCCAGCCGCCTTAACCACTACGCCACCCAACCAGCCCCACCCAAAGCCGTTTTTAGTTCATGTAGCGAAGACTCACTGAGCACGAGGACGGGCCAGCACTGCCCTAGGCCTGGGGCCTCAGCCGTGAGCAGAAAGCACCCTGGGTGCTGCTCCAGGAGATAGAGGGGATGCCTCAGGGGGTGACTGCCAGCAAGCCCAAGGAGCAGGCTGGTGACGGGAGGGCATATCCAGTTTATGGGCTTTTCTTCAGGGGACTGAGGGAGCCGAGGAAGCGTGTCCCAGACACAGGGAACAGCCAGTGAAAAGACAGGTTGGAGAGTGCCCGCCCGACCACGAGCGTGGAGGAGGCCTGCGTGCCTGGAGCCGGGGAACGAGGCGACGGGATTGTATTCAGAGCCTATGTGCTGGTTAGGGTGAGCATTCAGAATGTTATATTTATTATTTTTTTAAAGGGTTATTTTATGTAACTTTATTTATGTATTTCCATTTGCCCAGAGAGGGACAGAGAAAGAAAAAGAGAAAGCACGCCACCAGATCTGGGACTTGACCCGCAGTCAGCCATGTGGGAGCCCAGTGCCCCTAACCACCATACCACCTGCCAGCCCCTGGAACAATATCTTTCTATTCTTTTTTTTTTTTTTAGAGAGGTTTTCACTACAGGGCGCATGCGCTCGCCAGACAGACAGAGACAGACAGAGAGACAGAAGGCGAGAAATCACCCCCCAGGGGGGATGGCCACACCGCAATCCCTTCTCCTCCATTCTCCTCTCGGGATCTTGGGCACGCACGCACACGCGCCCGGCGTGAGTTTTAAGCCACCGGGTCTGGGACGCGAACCGCGGTCGACGACGTGGGAGTCCAGTGACATAGCCATTATGCTAACTGCTGGTTACCATTATCTTTTTATTTTTATTTTTTAAACTGTATTTTTAGAGAGATTTTTGCTAAACAGTGGATGCCCTCATTAGAGACAGAAGTGGAAAAATCACCCCGTGGGGAGGTGGCTACCCCGCGATCCCTTCTCCGTTTTCCTCTCGGAATTTTGGGCACACACACACATGCGCCCAGTGTGAGTTTTAAGCTGCCAGGTAGGTCCAGGTCTCAAGCCATGGTTGACTACATGGGTATCCAGTGCTATAATCGTGCCACCTGCTGGCCCCTCTTTTTTTTTTTTTTTTAACAGGTCAAATTAAAAAATAAAAAAATTATTTTTTAAAAATAAGAATTACTTATTTAATTTTATTTATATTTTATTTCTTTAAATTTAACCAGAGAGACAGAGGGAAAGTGAGAAAGCAAGCCACCAGGTCTGGGACTTGAACTGTGGTCAGCCATGTGGGAGTATCCAGCACGTTAACTACCATGCCACCTGCCAGCCCTGCCCCTCTGTTTTTAAATCTTCATGGCTGGAGGGGAGAGTGAGAAAGCACTACTTATGGGGTATGGTTATGGCACCCCTCCCTCTCTCCCTCTCTTCAGGATCTTGGGCTCACATGTGTATGTGTTCAGTGTGTTTTCCAGGTTGTCACATCTGAGACTTAAGCCATGTAGTCGGCTGGAGACAGACAGCCAGACGAGGAAAGTGAGAAAGCACCCGTGGGGGAGACGGCCACATTGCAGTCCATTCCCCTTTCAGGATTTTGGGTGGGCATGCACACACATGTGTCTGGTGTGATGTTCTTTTTTGGGGAGAGATTTTTGCTATAGGGCGTGTGCGCTCACCAGAAAGAGACAGAAAGTGAGAAATCACCTCCCGGGGGGATGGCCACGCCGCAATCCCTTCTCCTCCATTCTCCTCTCAGGATCTTGGGCACGCACGCACACACGCCCGGCGTGAGTTTTCAGCCAGTGGGTCCAGGACATGAACCGCGGTCGACTACGTGGGAGTCCAGCGACATAGCCATTATGCTAACTGCTGGTCCCGGGTGCCCAGTAGGATTTTCAAGCCTTTGGATCCAGGACTTGAATGGCTCAATCAGCCACGTGGGATCCAGCGGGCTTAACCACCATGCCACCTGCTAGCTCCTTCCAAGGTTTCCTGATACATTTTGGGTATGTGGCCTTGATCTGACCAACTGAGGCTGGGAGGGGGTGGTGTGAGACCCGATTAGAGGGGTGTCTCCATGGAAGAAATTTTATATGTATGTGTACAAACACACACAGGACACACCACATAGTTAGACGTTTTATGGGGAAAAATCCTGAAAGGGACCCAGATGAGAGTGGAAAAGACAGCATTTCTTTTTAAGGCTTTTGCCACAGGATACATGTACTCACTGGAGAGAGACAGAGACAGTGAGAAATCATCTCGCTTTTGGAATAGCCACGCTGCAGTCCCTTCTCCATTCTCCTTTCGGGATTTTGGGCACACACGCCCAGACACACGGTGTGATTTTCAGTTACCAGGACCAGGTCCAGGATTCAAACCACGGTCAGCCATGTGGGAGTCCAGGAGTCCAGTGCCATAACCACTCTGCCCCTGCTGGCCCCAAGAAACCAATTTTAAGTAAGGCGATCACAGAGAATCTCCCTGAGAGGGACCTGCAGTTGGCGTAATGGCTATGTCACTGGACTCCCACGTAGTCGACCGCGGTTCGTGTCCTGGACCCGGTGGCTTAAAACTCACGCCAGGCGTGTGTGCGTGCGTGCCCAAGGTCCCAAGATTGGGGCGGGACCATCCCCCCGGGGGGTGATTTCTCGCTTTCTGTCTCTCTCTCTCTTTTTTTTTTTTTTAATTTTTTTTTGGGAGAGGTTTTCGCTATAGGGTGCGTGCGCTCGCCAGACAGAGAGAGAGAGAGACAGAGAGACAGAAAGTGAGAAATCACCCCCCAGGGGGGATGGTCACGCTGCAATCCCTTCTCCATTCTCCTCGCAGGATCTTGGGCACACACATGTACCCGGTGTGATTTTTAAGCCACCGGGTCCGGGACACGAACCGCATTCGACTATGTGGGAGTCCAGCGACATAGCCATTACGCTAACTGCTGGTTCCCTGTCTCTGTGTCTTTCTACGACTGCATGCACCCTATAGCAAAAACCTCTCTCAAAAATAAATAAATAAAAAGAGAGAGAGAGACTCTCCCTGAGAAAGCGACATTTGTTCCAAGTCTTGGAGGATGGACAGGCAGGGAGGATGGCCCTTGGAAGAGTTTTCTAGGCAGAAAAAACAGCAGGTGCGAAGACCTGGGCTGAGGAAGAAGCCGACTTCCCAATGGAGAGCATGCCCCGCCCTCCCTGTGCACACACGCTGAGGCGCTTCTGATTTATTTTGGACAGCAGCTCCAAGGTGTCTCCCTCTGACTTCGGGCATAGCGAGCTGGCCCCCGGTGAGTGTGCCTTAGGGAGGGAGTATGGCGGCCAGGAAAACAGGCTGGCAGAGCCGTCCCTACCGTCTCTTCCCCCAAAGCCACCAGCCGCCGCTGGATCTTTAAAAAGAAACAAGGAGGAGAACTAGGTCACCCCTGCAGCAGCTCAGCCTCTATTCTGGAGCGCCAGGAGACAGGAAGAGCTGAAAGTTCAGGAACCTCCGATCACGTGCTTCCCAGCCCCGACCTGGGAAAAGCCTAAAGCGGGAGGAGAATTCCGTTCCGGTGTTGGTGAGTCTGGCAGCCCTGGCCTCCGACTATGCTGATGCCTGTTGGTTGTGTGATCTTGGGCAAGTCGCTTGGTTTTTCCACGGTGGAGGTTGTTCACCTATACAACAGGTAAAACGGAAGCACTGGGACCAGGAGGTGGCATCCTGCTTACGTTGCTGGACTCCCACAGAGTCGACCGCTGTTTGCGTCTCTGGCTGGGATGGCTTAAAACTCATGCCGGGGAGCCAACAGGTGGTGAGGTAGTTAAGGCTCTGGACACTCTCACATGGGCGACCACGGTTTGAGTCCCAGACCTGGTAGTTTGCTTTCTCACTTTCTTTCTGTGCGTCTCTCTCTGGTCAAATTGAAATAAATGAATGAATTAAAAAAAAAAAAAAAACTTATGCTGAGCATGCATGCGTGTGTGTCCAAAATCCCTAGAGGAGAAGTGGGGGAGAAGGGATTACGATGTGGTCATCCCCCCTGGGGAGGTGATTTATCACTTTCTGTCTCTCTGTCTCTCTGGCCAGCACATGCACCCTATAGGGAAAATCTCTCTCTCTTTTTTTAAGAGGTTTTTGCAGTAGGGTGCATGTGCTTGCCAGAAATACAGACAGACAGAAAATGAAAAAAATCACCCCCGAGGGAGGATGACCACGCTGCAATCCGTTCTTCAGTCTCCTCTCGGGATCTTGGGCTCACAAGCACCCGGTGTGAACTTAAGACTCTCAGTTTGGGACTTGAACCATGGTCTACTACATGGGAGTCCAGTGCTATAATCATTCTGCTGGTCCCACAAAAGTCTCTCTTAAAGAAAAAAGAAGAGAGAAGCATCAGAGCCATTAGGTAGAGTGGTAGTGAAGGTATTGGAATCCTCCATGGCTGACTACGGTTCAAATCCTGGACCTGGCAGCTTTCTCTCTCTCTCTCTGGTCAAATTGAATAAATAAAATTAAATGAATAACTCTTAAGAAGAAGCATCAGGACTAGTCACATGGCATGATGGTTAGGGTCACTGGATCCCACATGGCCAGGTGTGGGGTTTGACTCCCAGACCCAGCAGTTTGAAAAACATGCCAGGCGAGTGTGTGTGTGTGTGTATGTGTGTGTCTTCCCAAAATCGTGAACAGAGAAGGGATGTGGTACGATCATTCCCCATTCCAAGGAGATCCTTTCTCACTTTCTCTCTCTCTCTCTCTCTTCCTATTTAGTAAGCACACGTACCATACAGCAAATTAAAAAACAAAAGAGAAGCATCTCTACAGTCAAAAGGCAGGACAATATTCAACTAGTCTGGTCTCGCAGGCCTCTCATGAGTGCACCTCCACCTACAAAAAAATTCAACTAATGGGGCCAGCAGGTGCTGTGGTGGTTAAGGGTGGTGGACTCCCACGTGGCCAACCGTGGTTCAAGACTTGGACCAGGTGGCTTCCTTTCTCTCTCTTTTTCATTCTCACTCTTATTCTGTCCCTCTCTGGTCAAATTAAAATAAATGAATACATAAACAAAATAAAAATAAATATAAATAAATAAATTTCTTAAAACAAAATTCAACTACTCAACTTTGTTTTAGGATTTCCATAGGGCCTTTGAGCTTGCTGGGGAGAGACAGAATGAAACATAAGAGAAAATGAAAAATCACCCCCCAGGAGGGACTACCCCACCATAATTTCTTTATTCTCCTCTCAGGATTTTGGGCATACGCACACACAGCCCCAGCGTGATTTTCAAGCCACCAGGTCCAGGACTGAAACTGTGGTTGCCATGTGGGAGTCCAGCGCCTTAACCACCATGCCACTTGCTGGCCCCTCAACTTGTCAACTCTAACCCTCAAGTTGTTAAAACACCTATCAGGACTGGCAGATGGCGTGGTAGTAAAGGGCACTGGATTCCCCATGGCCGAATGTAGTTCGAGTCCTGGACCTGGCAGCTTGCTTTCTCACTTTCTCTCTCACTCTTTCTCTCACTCTATCCCTCTCTGGTCAAATTAAAATAAACAAACGGGGACCAGCAGGTGGCATGGTGGTTAAAGCACGGGAGACTCTCAGATGGTTGACTATGGTTCAAGTCCCAGGCCTTGGTTTCTCTCTCTCTCTTTTTTTTTTTTTTTTTTTTTTTTATTTTTTTTTTTGGCTATAGGGCGCGTGCGGTCGCCAGACAGAGAGAGACAGAGAGATAGAAAGCGAGAAATCACTCCCCAGGGGGGGATGGCCACGCCGCAATCCTTTCTCCTCCATTCTCCTCTCGGGATCTTCGGCACGCACGCACACGCGCCTGGCGTGAGTTTAAGCCACCGAGTCCGGGACTCGAACCACGGTCGACTACATGGGAGTCCAGCAACATAGCCATTACACTAACTGCTGGTTCCTCTCTTTCTTTCTGTGTCTCTCTCTGGTCAAATTAAAATAAATGAATGAATAAATAAAATTAAAAATCTTTTAAAAAAGATAAACAAATGGATAAATAAAGTTAAATAAAATAATTCTTAAAAAGAAAAACTGTCCTTGCTTCTGTCAGTGAAGAGGTTGGTTTATGTCTGAAAAAATACTGCCTTTTACACTGAAGCTAGTGTGCGTCTGTCTCCCATCTCACGTTCAGGCTTCGGGGCCTGCTTCCTGTTTTCTTGCACCGGTTGCTTCCAGTTGAAGTTGATTACCATGCATAGGGTCGTGAGACTTGCATGAACTAACATTTCAAAATGGATCGGCATGGGGCCGGCAGGTAGCGTGGTGTTAGAAGGTGCTGGATTCCCACATGGCTGACCAGAGTTTAAGTCCTGGATCTGGTGGCTTCCTTTCTCGCTTTTCCATTCTCTCTGCTCATCAAAAAATAATAACGAATGACAATAAATAAATAAATCATTCTTAAAAAAAAAATCACTTTGGGGGCTACCCGGCAGCGTGGTGGTTAAGGGCGCCGGACTTCTACACGCCAGCTATGGTTCGAGTCCCCGACGTGGCGACGCACTTTTGCACTTTCTCTTTCTCTCTCTGGTGAAACTGAAATAAATAAAAGTTAAATAAAGAATTATTTATAAAAATAAGTATTGAAAAAAAGAAGGTTTGGCATATATCAAGTATTTAAGAAATAGGGGGGTGGGGTCCACATGGTACTGTGCTTGTTAAGGTCCTGGACTCCCACAGGGCCAACCGCTTTGGAGTCCCAGACTTAGTGGCTTGCTTTCTCTACTTTCCCTCCCTCTCTCTCTCTCCAGTGAGTGCACATACTCCGGAGCAAAAACAAAAGAAAACAAAAACCTGATTAAAAAAATAAATTTTTTAAGAAAAATAAATGGGGGGGTTAATTTAAAAAGGAAAAAAAAAAATAGGGCCCGCATGTGGCGTGGTGGTTAAAGCACTAGACTCCTACATGGCTGACAACAGTTTGAGTCCCAGACCTGGCTGCTTGTTTCTTCATTCTCTTTCTCGCTCTGGTCAAATAATTAAAACAACAAAACGAAAAACAATCAAACTTGCCCCATTCAGTAAGAAAGACTAGTGTCACCACGCGAGAATCAACAGAGGATCTTACATGCGGCAAGGACCTGCTTCTCCCAGTGTCTGGCCGAGCTGCAGGAAACTTGGTATAGTAAAGAGAAGAGGTGGACATTAACAAATTTTTCCTGCATCCCAAGTTTGCTTTCCATCTGACCCTTATCTACATCAGCTCCCAAACCTGTTCAGAGATCTCCCATCACTCGTACCCTCCGAAACCCCCAAACGTAGTCCTGGCCGCCAAATACTAATCTTCCTTCCGCTCAGCATTAAGCCCGGCGGGTCTCTCACGACCCTTCCCTGTTTGATTTCCAGCCGGAGCTCCAAAGCGAGGGACCTAGGCGCATGGCATGATGGGATTTGTAGTTCTAGGACTTACCCGGCGGGGCGAGGCAGAGGTCTTTGCGCATGCGTAGGTGGCGGCTTTCTGCACGTGTGGTTCAAGCTGGGGTCTAGTGGAGGTGGCTGGGGCAGGAATTCCCTCTGTTCTTTTAGGAATTCTCTAACTCTCGGAGTGGAGTTAGGCACAAGCCGACCCCTTTCTAGCCTGGCAGGCCCCAGTACTTGCTTTTCGTGAATGAACGGAGCTGGAACTGACTTACCAACGGGAAGTGGGCTAAGAAACCCTTCAGGCTGAATTAAAAATTGACCTGCGTCTTACCTAGGGGATCAGAAAATCCCTCAAAGGCAGGATTGCATTGTCCTGTGGGATCGGATCCTTCGTTGATTCTGTAAATATTGGTTTAGGGAGGGGCTCAATACAGGGGAAGGACGACCTTGAGCCTTGCAGGGCAAAAGCCACATTTTAAAAGAACAGTTTGCCGCCGGCCAGGTAATGCTTAACTTGAATTATCTCTAGTCGAGCAAACTGTTTTTTTTTTTTCCTTTCTTATACTGATTTGACAAGTGGGGAAACTGAGGCTCCTGGGGGTAGGAGTTCGCCCACTTTGTCATTGTCAGGGCTGGTCGAGAAGCTTCAGCTCTTTCCTACACCGTTTGTTATCGAGAAACTGCCCCATCGATTTCAGACGGCGCAAGGACCGCGAAGATTTCTTTCTTCATGATCTCACCCTCGCCTGTTTCCCGAGCTGTTCCACCTCATTCAACTTCAGGTAAGGAAAAGGATTAGGCCTCTGGCTCCAGTTTATTTTCTTTAAAGTGTTATATCCTTGTATATATATGTGTGTGTGTGTGTTAATTTCTCTGTAAAAACTTTCGAAAAAGTACTGGAAAAATCTGTAACATAAAACGTGGCGGAGGTATCTGTAGGAACCCAGCCCAGCACAGGCACCCCTTTGTCCGGCTTTCTTCCCTTTGTTTTTGGGTATCAAGTCCACCCGCGTGATGGTCTCTCCGCGCTTTTCCTGCGCGCACGTGGTGAACACATCCCAAGTAGTCTCCAGCCTGGGGGAGGGAGGGACAGTCCAATTCCTATTGGAGGGGTTGACAGGAGCGCAGCTGGCTCTGGCCGAGGGGGTCTCAGGCCCATCGCACACCAAACCCCCCCAGCGCACTGCCAAACTCCCAATTCCAGCAAGGAGCTGTGGTCCGGTCAGCATAAGATGCTGAGGAAACGAGCTGCTGGGAGGACCGACCGGCTAGAGAGGCTGTAACTCTTTCGTCACGTGACCCGGCCTAGCCCGGACCTAGGTCTCTCTAGGGCCAGCCCACGTGCGTCTTCCGGGCCTTTCAATTGGCTGGGCTGGGCCAGTTTGAACGGAGTACGGAAGCCTCGGCGGTTCATCATCGGCAGCGTTCTTTTTTTTTTTTCTTTTTCTTTT